GCCGCAGACTGGCCCAGGGTCCCTTAGTCAGCTGGCTTACAGAGGTCCACAAGAACCCTACACCACCCCGGAGGAGGGGCAGAGCTCTCCCGTCCTCACCAGGCAGTCTCCTGGGCCTGCTGACATCACAAAGGTGTCAACTGGCAACCTCATAGTCATGCGGCTCTCCCCTGGCTCCCCTTCACTCGCACACACAGGGAAAGGGTGAGACCTTTCAGAGCTGCCAAGCAGCAGTCCGGGAGGAAGCAAACGGCAGAGCCACCAAGCCAGCGGCAGGGCGTCGGGCCTCGCGTTTCAACTTCTGTTCGGTTCTCCTGTAATGGAAAATTGCTTTGCACGAAGCTAGAGGGTTACAGTTCTTTCCAGCGCCCCTCCCCCGCCCCTCCCTGGCCTCCTGGTCAGAGGGACAGTGCCCGCAGGATGCAAAGGAGGGTATCACAGCTTCTGACTATGTCCCTTGCTGCAGGCCCTGGGCCCGGGTGGTTACTCTTTTCCTTTGGAATGGGATTGGTGTCTGGGTCAAAGTGTCCAAAGAATTGTCAGTGTCAAGCCCAAGAAGTGGCCTGCACAGGGATGCAGTTAACTGCTTACCCCTCCGACGTACCCCTGAGCACCCGGAGGCTGTACCTGAATGACAACGCCATCACTTTTTTGCCAGCGATGAATCTAGGACTCCTCAGTGACCTTGTTTACCTGGACTGTCAGAACAACCTCATTCGGGAGGTGATGGATTACACCTTCATCGGGGTCTTCAGGCTCATCTACCTCCGTCTCAGCTCCAACAACCTCCTGCTGGTCTCCCCACACAGTTTCTCTGTGCTGAGCAGCCTGGTCCACCTGGACATCTCCAACAACCCTCACCTGTTCTCTCTGAGCAAGTACACCTTTGCCAACACCAGCTCTCTGAGGCACCTGGACCTCAGAAACACCGGCTTGCAGACCTTGGACCCCACTGCCTTCCACAGCCTCGTAACACTGCAGACCCTGTATCTGAGCGGAAACCCCTGGAAGTGCAACTGCTCTTTCCTGGACTTTACCGTCTACCTGCTAGTGTCCCATCTGAACCATCCAGGTGAGGGCTTGCTTGGGGGTGGGGAGGAGGAGGTGCTGGAAGGAGGACTTGGTGCCAGAAAAGTGAAGTTGAAACATGGTCAGGATGGGAGGAAAATGTGGGGTGAGCTGATTGGAAGCATTCTTATTGCTCAACTGGAGCCATTCTGGGGCTGACTAGACAGACAGCAAGGACCAGTAGAAAAAGTCCTGGCTAGAAATCCAAAGAGCTGAGTTCTGGTTCCAAACTCAG